GAATGACCGCGCTATTTTTTTCTCGATTTAACCGAACCCTCAAAACAGCGAATTATATTGAGGGGAAATTCGGCCAATTAGTTATGTATATATTGGCGGGAAAACATACATGTAAGTGTATGTATGTGTGGGTGCACTTACACATTAGGATGGTTCACCTTTTCAAAGTTTGGTTTAGGCCAGTGGTCTAAACACACACTTTATTATTATCTACATACATATGTATGTACGAGTATAGACATTTTAACGTGGAAAAACGCTGCTATTTTTACTGCATCATCACAGAGCATGCAATACATAACTCTTGCTGTTTTGTTTTCTTTCTTGCAAATGCTACAAACTTAAACTATTTTTATGTTCGTCATAGTTTTCAGCTAAAACACAATTTAAATTTACTGTTAATTTACGTGTTATTTAATATAAAAGTTGTTTCGTTTTATACTACATTTATTGCGTACAAGTATACGTATCGTGGCGTAAAGTGCATGATAAAGGCTTGATTGAAATAAACATTACACTGATTATTGGTTTCATATCATACGCTTATGTGCTTAAAGTGGTGAATAAATCCAACTCAATTAGATATGTTATGCGATTAACTAAACTTTAATATAAAATTAAATAGCACATTCATACCGAAACGCTTGTCAAAATATATGTAATAATTTGTAGTTATGTAGACTTATATTGTATACAGTTGCATAGTTGCGAAAACCAACCACCCGCTATTGGCGCGCGCATAAAACATTAAAGTTTTAAGTATTTTTTGCTTAAAAATAAAGCAAAATTTATAGTTGACACGAGAATGAAACAATCTAAATGAACTATTTACATACAGATATCTATTTAGAATAACATAAAAACTATATTACCATACGCAGTTATTGACATACTTATGTACATGCATATGTATGCAGATGACAACTAATTTATACATACAATAAGTTGCCTTCTTTCGTGCCTTGCACAATCATACACAAATATTACAAAACATACAAACATATGTAACTGTGATGTCAGGCATACAAATTATAAACTCTGTGTATTTCATTTTTTAGCAAGAGCTTTCGCTTGTTTTTTTTTTAAATATTCAAATTTGCAAACATTCTTGGCGACTGTTGTTGAAGTTACAGTCCTTGGCCTGATAGAAATCCGTGTCGTTGCGGTTGCGTAGACCCGACTGTCGTAGCAATTGCAGTGTACTCATCCTCGTTAGTCTATTAAAAGGTCTTAAATTGATGTGGTTGGCTATTGTAAGTGTTACTACTTACAACTAGGTTCACATTTATTTTGGATAATTTGGTTTAGTGAACAAAATACGTAGCTAAACAATTAAAAAATACAGTTAAAGTTTTTAAATTTGTCACCAAAGCTGTGTACTCGCGGACTCGACGGCCACTCTCTCTCTCTCTTCTCTACACAATATAAAGTCTCACTCGCTGTTTACAATAACAAGAAGAAATGTGATGTACGTTTTATCCTCAAGGTTAAACCATTTTTTTATTTTATAATTAATTAATCGCTCGTATTTTTTATTCTTGTCTTTCATACCATCTTTTCTTAAAAACTAATTTCTTCACATCTATGTACATAAAAAGTTGAGCTAAAACATATAAACAAACTCCATGCCAGTAATAAAGTTTTTTTTTTTTCAAATCGATCGGGCAGATAAAGCTTGCATATTAATGCAATTAAGAACTATACATATGTACATGTATTTATGTACAAGTTTTATATCCAAAAATTAGTTTATAATACATACATACATATGTATGTCGCATGGACATATGTATGTAGTATATGTATAACTTATTTTGAAAAAATAAAATATTCGTTGATAATTAGCAAAATTTTGTTGTTTTCGGTATCGCAAGGTATTAAACTATTCAAGGGATGTCTTTTTACGGCGCAAAAAACGTAAGCTTAAAATTGTTGGCCTCATTAAACAGTGCGATGAAATTCCAAATATTTTCTCATTCAGATTTTTTTTAAAGGATTGCTAAGTTTTAATTAGGTCACAGCATTACAAAACTCATAAGTCTATGTCATACCTTTTAATAGATTTTTTTGTTTGCTTTTGTTTTTAAATGGCTAAAGCATAAAGAAAGCGCAGGCCTTTCGCCTCTAATAAATTTATAGATTTATGACGACTTTTTTATGCTGGGTGCTATCTGAAACATTGAAGAGCTTTTTAAAAACAATACTAACGTGCGACCAGCATAACTAAAAAGCAAATCTAATCCTAATGAGTTTTGATATCGCGCACGTATCGATTTTCTCATGTGTTTGATACGCTGTCACACGGTGTAATAGAATAATGCATTATTTTGTACTTCTAAAAATCATGTATTTTTCATTTCATTCAAAGTGCATAATGCTGCACTAAGCATAGGAATTTTGCAATTAAAAGGCAATTCGCAATAGTTTTTCTAAGCAACAGAAATTAATTAAAAGTGCTCTACTACACTAAAAAATAATTAAAAGCATGTAGGAAGTTAAAAAAAAAATTACAATAATTACGGAACAGCTTAACTTAAATCAAAATAATATTATTTTTTTTTTTGTTGAAAATTAATCAAAGTAGTTTGGCTAGTTCACGCCTAGCAATTAATCCAGTTTAGCTATTCTTGCATGCCCTTCAAAAGCAACTGGATCGCGTATATAGTTTTAATTAACTTCTTCTGTAATATTCAAAAGCAATTTAAGTTATTAAATGTGACTAAAACATTTTATTTTATACTAATACATTAATTTTTTATGTGACTACCATGCAATATCAATCAAGTAACTATGAGAACTTGTTTAAATGTAATTATAACAAAGTAATTGTGTTTAATTATTTGAAAAGTTCATTAGACAATTAATGCATTTTGAATTGTAGTACTTATTTAAATCTTAAAATTATGCAAATTTGCTAAGTCAATCAAAACGAAAAAGTTTAATATCTCACGTTCGCTTTATGCCTAATTTGTTAATGCTGCGCGATTTGCAAGAAAATTCAGTTAAGTCTGCTTATTTAGTTTTTTTTTTTCTCATTAAAAACTACTACATACTAGAATAGTAGGCAAAGTGCCCTTTTGCAATATTTGCAAAATTAAAATTTCATGATACTAACACAATAAAACATTTTAGATTTTCGTAAGAGAAAATTATGTGCACACTCGGATCAAGTTAGCGCCGTTTTCGTTCAGCGGTAAACTTTATATTATTGTACTGAAAATCGGTAGTTACTAGTGCTGTATGTGAGTTAATTCCATAGTGAAAACGGTCTCTTTAAAGAATAGTAATGTAAGTCAAAAATTTATGCATTTTATTTACAAAAAAAACTATTGCTTTCTAACTTTATATCGTATTTGAAATCTTGGTGAGTTTGTACGCGTGCTTTAAACATTACTTTAAAAATTTTGAAGCTAAGTATTTAAAATTGAAAAATTCGCTACGTTCCGTTTAGCGCTATTTAATATGCAGAAAACATGTGCCGCCTTTCTCTCTCAACATATTTACAAGCTAAATTAAATAACTTAAATGATTTAGCCACATTTATTAGAGGCATTGAGCTTGCAATTTCAAATTATACCCTCTCTTATTTAAGGTATGTATACTAAATTTAATTTTTTAAAACTAATTTTTGTAGGTAGTATGGGTGTGTGTGTGTTATCAATCGCAGGGGTTGGTCAATATGTGCCTTTTTGTATGCTTTTCGTACATATATATGTACTAGCATATCTATGAATGCATAGTTTGAATGTTTTTTACAATTTCTTTAAAGTACATCCATAGGTTTCAATAATCATATACAAATATGTATTGATTTTTTTTTTCTTACAAAATTATGACGTTGTAAACTTATGAGATATAACAAAATATCAATAGGTTTAATGCATACATTTAAGTATTATAGTATATAATACATTTTTATAATAATAACCATAAGAATAAGAATAAATTTATTTTAGCAATGTTGCAACTTTTTTTCTATTCATTTGATTATACACACATACATGCTCTAGTGATAGCGAAACATATAAATATGTATGTGGCTGAATCTGTTGCTACCTTCTTTAAAAAAAAAATCAACATAATGTTGCAATAGTGGCGACTTATCTCCATATTTGAATATGTATTAGTTAAGCTTCTTTTTTGGTAGCTCTTCTGAATACATACATACGCCGGCTATATTCCAAAATGATTGCAGCTTATTTGCTGTGTACAAAAATTACTGGGCAAAATTTTTGCTATACACTGTTGTTCATCTATAAAACACCTATCACCAAGTATTCGTACATTGTTGTTATAAAATTGTATTAGTGCGTGGATGTGTGTTTAATAAGTTAAAGTAACTGTCTAATTGTTGTTATGCATTTGAAGGAATCGTTAATATTTTCCAATTTATGTAGATATATATATATACTATTATATAGTCACATCATTTCTTCATTTAAGAAAGTTTGATTATACGTTTTCAATTCTACTAACATACATATATACAATACAAATTAGTGTTGAAGGCATTTTCACTTGCCACCAACACTCCTTGCAATTCTTACAGCCCGTTACGTGGGCGTCGTACATTTGCTGAATTCAATACAGCTTACTAGCACTACACCAACCATAGTAGACTTACCGGCCCGCCCTTTTACGGCTGTAATTGTTCGTTTGGAAAAATATTTGTTACATTTCCTAGAAGCTCGTCAAAAAATGCTGCTGGTAACGTAGTTGTTGCTGCAGCGTTCGTTTGTTGTAATATATTGTTGTAATTGTAGTTTATAGTTTGTTGCATCAGCATAAACCACCAACGTGTAAAACATAAATTTTGATTATCCTCAATTGATGTTGTTGTGTTGGCTTCTGTTGCTTGAGTTTCTGAGTTTACATTTGCGGACGTAAGCAATTTTTTTAAATCGTCATGCATTTGCTGATGTTGGTGCTGCTGCTGCTGCTGTTCTTGCGACGTTTGCAGCAGCTCTTGTTGCAAGTCGTCTAAAATATAGTTTTTATTGTTGTTGTTGTTGTGGTTGTAATTCTTTTTACTGCATTTGGTTTTCTTAAATCTGCTGTTGCTGCCAACACAATCAGTTAGAAAAGATCTGCATGAAACGTTCAGGCGGTAAATTGTATATTAAAGTTTGATACAAGCATGAAAGATAGAAAAAATATTTATTTAGCAAATGTAATACATATGAATGCGGTGCACAATAAAGATAATAAATTAATTTATTCGTTTCGTTGGACTCACTCGAGTGTTTTAAACCAGTTTATTCTCCACCGTACCATATATTCGCCGGAGCATAATGCGCATGCTTGCTGGCGGCAACTTGTGCTGGACTCAGAGGACCAAATTGGCTATACTGTGTGGGAAAATGTATATGAGCGGGCAGTGGATGCGATGGTATTACCTGTGAACGAAAGCCAGCAGTTCGAAATGGTTTAGCAAATTTTCCTCGAAATTGAGAAAAGCCGCTTTCGATCTTTCTTGCTTAAGCTCTTTGTTAGCTTAAGCAGATATGAGCATTAAAAGGATATGTTATTCGGTTGCCATTCATTCACATTGTCATCGAAAGAATTCAGTGATTTTAAGAATTCATCTCAACTGTTGGTGTAGGCGAATCGAAAGCGGCTCAAGCAAATAGGCCCCCCAGAGCCTGCAGCTGTTATGATCATAAAGTACCCCACTCACCTGACGACTCGAACTGTTGTGTGCTGGCGGCGGTGCAACTGCAGCCCGATTGTACGCATATGTTGGAGTCGCTTGCGATACAAACACCGTTGGACGTCGGTACATGTCACCCTGTGCATATATATCCGGCTGCAACATTACTGCTGTAGCAGCGGCTGGCGAACCACCAATCGGTGTATTCGCTTGATGTTGATGATGTTGATGCTGTGGTTGTGATTGTTGCTGCTGCGCTGATGGTGCAACAACTTGTACAGCTGTATGAGTTTGCTGTTGGCGATGATACACTTGCGGTGCACCCCACGATGGCGGACCTGCAGCGGCACCTGAGACAGCACCTACTGCCACAACACCGCCAACTGCCGACGATGAGCTCTTCGAATGCGCCAATGGCGGTGCAGCAGCAGCTGCTGACGAGGACGGTGCATGCTGTACGTATGCCGATCCAGATGGTGCCGTGGAGATGACCTCGCGCTTGTGATGTGCCGGTTGTGCCTGTGTGGCTGCGGCTGCCCATGAGGAGCGCTTGTTATCGACTACGACTGTAGGAGCCTGCTGTGGCGGATACTCGTAAAATTCGGCTGGCTCCTGCTTGGTTGGCAAATGTGGCAAACTAGCTGTTTGGTTGCCTAAGCTGCTGCCGCTGCCACTGCAGCCAGCTGCGTTACCGCCATTGTTGTAACACTCATTCTGTGCCATGGCCAAAATGCGCTTCTTTTGCGATTGGCCCGGTTCATATTTTATGTTCGGCTGTTGTTGTTGAGCAGGCTGTTGGTATTGATGCTGCTGCTGCTGCTGTTGCTGTGGCTGCGGCTGTACAACTTGTTGCTGATGTTGATGCTGTTGCTGATGTGGCTGTTGTTGGTGGTGATGATGTGAGGAGGATGCAGCTTGTATTTGCTGATGCTGATGCTGATGCTGGTGTTGTTGCTGCTGCTGCTGTTGCCTGGGACTATTACCGCCACTGTGTACATGACTGTTACGACGACGCACCTCCTCTGTATCGTTGTCACCTACGGTTACGCATGGGATTACTAAC